CACCTGTCATGTGGGGAAGCGTACCTGATCATTTTAGGATTAGCGATCTGCTTTAACAGACTTCTGCTAATATAGCTGTTCTCACTCTGTAAGTCCAGCTTTGCATTCCTACTTCTTCCTAAGTCATGTATTTGAATAGGAAAGAATAAGTTGTTATTAACCCTTTCAATTCTGGCAAGGAATTGAGCATGACCTGCCAGATCTACAGATTCGACATAGTCCCTGTGGAGAGAAATGGTTAAAACATCACCTTCCAGAGAGACATTCTGTATCCTCTCTGGAGCAATTCTTACGGAATGCTCATCTACAGGTGCGATTGCATCATTCACCTGCAGGATAGTCACGTCAGGTGACTGACTATTTCTAAAATGTACCTCAATCGAGTCAGGTCTTTCTTCTATCACATGGCAGTTACGATCAGATTGAACATGTGATTTCTCATAGGTTATGGGAACCTTAGCTTGTGACCATACAATTCCATTTACACAGTCAATAATTGTGTTAAGTCTTCTGAGTATGTCTATACCCAGAATCAGTCGGTCATAGGGGAGATCTACCACTATCACCGGGTGTCTAAAGGTTTTGTTACCTATTTTAAACTTTAACCAGGTATTGCCAATAACATGAAGGGCATTTCCTCCTACACTCAACAGAGCATTGGGGAAATCTCTTAGCTTCGGCTTATCCGCTGCTAAGTCCATTACCTGCTGGAAGTAGGTATTGGATAAGATAGTGGCTTGTGAACCAGTATCTATTAACCCTTTAAAAGGCTGGGGTAGCGAATCCTGTATTTCTACAGACATGTAGTACCTTCCTTCATGTTCTTCTAATTCACATAAGAATTTAGAATGTGTCAACATATTACTTGTTTTCCATACATTACCGGTCACAGCAGTAGTTTCTACCTGTACTGAGGAATGCTCAGTCTTACCCACAGGCCCATCCTTTTTAGGAATATCTTGAACTGTCAAGCGGGAACTAGTGGTCGGCATCTCATCAGTTAACCCTTTCAGGTCTGGATCCTGGAAACTAGTGGTTGCTGGGGCTATTTTAGCCTTTGGCTGAAATGAAAAAACAGAGGAACACGTTGCGCCTCCTTCACCCGGAAGTGAAGTGACGGTATAGGCAATAGATTTTCTAACACAACTTTTGTTTGTTTGACTGTTAGTACCTGGAAAGGAAACAGGGTTAGGCATTACATCTACTGATAACCTAGCCTGTTTAGTCACAGTGGCTATTATTGCTGCGGCACCTGTTGTTGTTGCTGCGGTTGCACAGGTAGTTCTGCAATTGGAGCTATCCCTAAAAAAGGATTTCTGGCAAAGACTTGGTTAATCTTTGTCATTCCCTCCATTAATTTGCCCATCTGGTCTGTCAATTGACCAACCTGACGACGCAAATTATTTCCCCCATTGCCGTTTTGTCTTTGCCCATTAGAACTTGGCTGGGATGGCTGAGACTGTTGGGAGTTATTGGAAGCAGATTGGTTATTTCTGTTTCCATATCTCCTATTTCCCTGAGGGTTCCTTCTCCATTGGGAATTGCCTTGGTTCTTATTAACCCAGGGGCGTTTATTCCCATTGGCATTGGATTTTTCAGAGTTATTAGAGGAATTTGCAGAATTGCTTCTGGCGTTTTCCTGTTTCTGAGGTTTTGGTGTTTTCAACACCTCGGAATAGGTCCTCTTTTTCTGTTGGGTTTCTAAACCTAACTGAATTTTAGTCTCTGACACCATTTTATCACCAGGTTTCTTAACCTTTGGTTGATTTTCGTCATGTGCATGGTGTATAGTGTACAACTTCATGCACTGACTGACTAGCCATTCTAATGGCAACTTACAATCGTAATCTCTTGCGAGATTCATTTGTATGTTTACCGGCATGGCATGAAAATACAGATCTTTGAAGTCTGTGCTTTCATACCTGGGTTTTCTTTGGGCCACGGAGTATGCATTTTTAAGAATTATTAAAAATTCTCTGGGGCTTTGATCTGGACGGCACTTTAAGTTATAAAGCGCCCTCTTAGCAGAGGCAATAGTTTTATACTTACCATATTCCATGATTATTTCGTATTTCATCTTGGACCAGGACATTAACTGTATAGCTTGAAGACTTTCTAGATAAACACGGCACATTGAATCAAAGGTCCATGTAATGAACCATTTCTTATGAATGTCATCATACATGCCCAATGAATTCATTGCTCTATCATAATTTTCCAGATGTTCAGATATGTTTCCTGAACCTCTAGAAAATTGTGGGACAGTCTCTCTAAGGAATTTGATGACCTTTGGTGTTTCATAAACAGGCGTCGTTGATTTACGATCTCTGTTTCTGTGTTTGGGTAAACGTCTATGCGATCTGTCTGCTGAAGAGGAATTAGACCCATACAACAGTGCAGATGGCATATCAGTTACATGGCCTTCAGAGTGGACAGTGCAATCACTTTCACTCCCATCACTCTGAGCTTCTTGTTCACTGTCACAATTCTGATCAGCATCAGAATCCTGCCAGTGTACAGAACCATGTCTGTTTTCATTCCTATCACCTTGAATCTGATTCCTTCTGTCAAGCTTGGCCAGGACAGTCTTTTCAAACTGTTCTGCCCAAGATTGCCAAGAATCTACAGGTGTTTTCTCAGAATTACTCACATCTTTTCTTAGAGACTGTTTTATGAAAACCTGGTTTGGTGTGGGAAAATCATAATAAGGAGGGGATTTACAAATAGTCTTTTCTTGCATTTTTGTGCAACTTTTTGGCACAGAATGATGACTACCAACCTCACTGTCTAATTTCTGACTCTCCTTTTCATACTCATCCAATTGCATTTTAAGCTGATTTATTTCCTGTGCATATTTATCCATCAAAGCTTTCATTTCTTTTTCATGATCAGCCTGACGAGTTTTATGCTCAGCAAGTAAATCTTGGTATTTCCCATTTTGAATGCCCAGATCGTCACTGTACGTGTCCAATTTGGCATTCAGTGACTTGTTTTCATCACACACCTTAAGAAGTGCTGTCATAAAGAAAAGCCAAGAGTGTATTATGTACGCCATTTTCCTTTCTATGTTCTTTTGTTCAGCAATTTCTTTAAGATATATGATGATGTGTTCATCAGTTAGAATGGTGTGTTTAGCTTCCCATTCTATGCTTTTCAACCAAACCTCATAGGTTGCATAATTTTTCATATGTTTATGAATATGAACTAGAGCATGTTTTCTTAGGTCTTCAATTATTTCAGTATTATCTGTTACAGATTTATCACTGCCACTGGCCATTTTTATTTTTATTTTATTGATTAATCTCAATACAAAACTCTTTTCTATATTAAGATTAAATTGCATGAATTACACCAATATTATTATATATGAAATACAATTTCATCTTAAACGATCTCAGCACCGTGCCTCCAATATGTGGGGATATTTATGGGATAATAATAGTAACAGTGAGAATTGCCCACTATTTCAATTCTCAGATCCCAAAGAACGTTTATCGTGTTAAATGGAATGTATTTCATATAATAATATCACAATGTATAAAAATAGATTTTATTTATGATAACCAATAATTAACAAATAATATTATGTAACATGCATGACAATAATCAATGAATATTCAGTATAAAATTATATGCAATACAAAGAAATGGGTATTACGTTTCAATGGCTAAACGGCATTATCTGTCAAGAATTCTGAGGATTTATGAGGTATCCTTAACACAGACTTTTCACACAGAGAACAGAATTCCTCAGAGTGCAGCGTAAGGTCGTAAAGATTAGCCGACAGTTAGAATAACCCTTTCAATGCTGGCTAGATCTCCTAGGTAGTTAAGATCTATTCTTATGTATTTTTAAATAAAATAACATTTAAACCAGTTCACTAGTCATTTTCTTAAAATCATCCAATAAGATAATTTACCACATTATATAAGCAGATTTTAATTTGTCTAAAAGATATCTATCTTAATTTAGAGCAAATCAATACACCTGGATAAAAACAGCGGTATGCTAACACGTGATAATATCACATCAATATATAATTATTCTTAATTCCACCTGCAGAATGGAATGTTTATAACTATATATTCTTAGTTAACTAAGATTTCTTAATATGGAAATCTGACCGTGCTTTATCCAGTCATATATAATGCTATTAATACATTTTAATTAATTTAATTTAATTAAATGAAACCAGTATAATTACCAGTTGAGTAGATATTTCATCCGATTGGTAGCCTCAGGAACTTATTTGGATGTCTCTCTCTGCATGGAGGTTGGAGTCCCCAAACTTCCAATTCCTCTCTTTTCTCTCCTTTGCATCTCTTGCATCTGCCTCCTTCGTCTCTTTCTTGTATCTCTATCTTCCCTTTGTCTTAACTTTTAAAGGGCCAGACTCTCTGTACGTCATCAGTTGATAACCCAATAGAAGCACTAGAGGTGTGGTTATCTTCCAGATCGCAAATTAGTTATTTGGTCTGTAGAGGGCAGTCTTGTCCCACTAAACATACCTATCCAGGAAAGAGTTAACTTTTCCTGGTGGCTATTTTGACGTCATTTTGCGTTATCTTTATAGCGCCATAATTTAAAATTTCAAAGGGTTTCTTAAATTTTGTCCAGACTTAGCGTCTGCAATTCCTGCCATAATTTCTGATATGACAGATCATGAACTAAGTTTACCCTTTTCCATACAATGGTACCTTATATATATAGACAGTTAAATATTAAATTATTTAATCTTCTCTGTCACAATTGTCTGGGTTTAGATTTGATTATATTCCATTAGCATTAGACAGTCTGTCCAACCCCCTTCCTTATCACTTGTTTATACTATGCATTCCTTAGCTCTGGCAAAGAGGCCAGTCTTACAGAAAGAAATCTAGTGTCTTCTTTGTTAATTTGAAATAACAAAATGGAGTCTGGTCTGTTCAGAGTGACTCAGAATATACACTTTTAGTTTCTATCATAGCACAAGATGTCTGCCGATATAAATACCCTGACAGTATCTGTATGTCAGTGTCTGTGTGGTTCAGTATGTCTTTGTGTATGTGTGTTTCAGTATGGCTGTCTGTGTCAGTACGTCTGTCAGAATGTGTCTCTGTATCTGTATGTATCTGTATGTGTCAGTGTTTGTATCTGTATATCTGCATGTGTTTTAGGTTGTGTATCTGTGTGTCTGTATGTGTGTCAGTGTGTGTGTGTATAATCTATATGTAGTCAATGGGTGTACCTTTGTATCTGCATGTATGTCAGTGTTTATATCTGTGTGTGTCTATGTGTGTGTCAGTGTATCTATATGTAGTCTGTGTGTATCTCTATGTTCTTGTGTGTATCTGCATGTGTGGCAGGTAGTGTATTTGTGTGTATCTATATGTAGTCAGGGGGCCCAAGTAAATGCTTGCCCAGGGTTTAATCAAAATTAAAGACGGCCCTGAGGATGGGTCTGTCACACTGGGTAAGTATATTAGTACTTAGACAATACTGTGCTTCGGGTAATTATTACCCAATGGTACATACTGAGAAATGTACCTTTCGAATATTTGTTTGAATAGTTTCCATTTATCCTCTGTGTTTTTATCACTAAGGAGTTTATGCCAGTCGATATGTTGTTCTTGTTCTAGAGCTGCCCTAATCTTATTAAAAATAACTTTTTTTAAATTACATGTTTTAGTATACCCCACGTGCTTTTGCTTATTTGAATTTATTTATAAAATTACCATATTGTGATCACTATTTCCCAAATGCTCCCCTACGTGAATGTTGGTCAAAAGACAAGCATCCTTTCTAGTTGGTGCTTGTACCAGTTGTGACATAAAGGTGCCATTTAACACTTTCAAAAACCTGATTCCCCTTGCTGAAGTACTAGTCACTCTGTGACGGTTACCCCTATAGAGTGAGGGTATCTACCGTCTGGACATCCTACTACCCATAGATAGAGAGCGCTGCAAGGTCCCAACCCGATATCCTGGAGAGCTAGTACAGCTGAAGAGAACTCTTACAAGAGCTAGCAGTGATATAGCAGTTATAACTGTTCCCTACAACACGAGACGAGGCTGCGAGTTGAGGGTAAGAAGGTCTGGTTTATTGAGCAAAATGCTTTTATTTTTTTATCTCAATATTTCTTCATTAAATTTTTTAACAAATACAGTTTATATCAATTTACCATAAAAAAAAATTAAATCACTCAAACACAAATACATAATAATTTACATTACATAGATGTACTACAACAAAATGCTTTTATTTTATACTCATTTTCAGGTCAGAGGCACACCCCCTGGACCTGATGGAACACAGGGACAAAAAGAACATAAACCGATGGGATCAATGATTATTACAGTAACACTCCCACATACAGTCAGCAAGCCCTCCCCTCTGCCTGTGATATAATTAAGCTAGCTAATGGAATAACTTAATTATCCACAGGCAGAAAATACCCATTTTTTACCCAAAGTTCAGAAACACCCCAAAACTGAAACTTATCCCCATAAATTATACATCCCTGGATAGCTCTGATCTAGGCGAACAACATATCCAAAAATCACCCAGATCAGAGCAGGGGTTCCTGAATTCTGTGGAAGTCACATTTGACCGACCACACGCTTGATTTCATGCCCAAAAGAGTTCCAGAGAATTAGGCTGTGCGGCCGGTCTTCTCATTCAAATAATGTATAAATTGTACGAACGGATCCGTTCGTGTATAACTCCATTGGATGCGTCTCGTTAGGTAGTTTGTTCTCCCTGAATAGTGCTCTGTTCGTGTGAATTTTGTTTAACGCACAGATGGTGGAAGTCCCATCGGTGTTCGTGCCTGTGAGTGTCCGTTTTTGTTTCCAGGCGTTCGACGCCAAAACACCGCTGACCACGTTCGGCTACACAAGATGGCCACCTCCACGTGTTGGTTCATACGAATGATGACCACCCAACCTTTTGTCAATTAGGCTGTGGTTAACCACAGCTTCTGGGTGGTTAACGAGAAGCACACTCTACATGTAGAGTGGTCGGTCTTTCGATACTTTGTTCGGCTACTTGAATAATGACAAGGGGAAAAATGACGTCCAGGGACGTGTCCTTCGTTGCAATAAAACATCAGAAAGGGGGAAACACACCGTAATCATGTAGGGAAGGGAAAAACCACCATAACTACTGCAACCACAGAGGGTTTTTGTTACACTATCCCAATTCAAGTCCGGGTAATTAAAATCTCCAATAATTGTTACCCTGATTTGCAGCTTTCCCAATTTGCTCTAACAGCTGTTCTTCCTCATTAATATTTACATAAGGTGGTTTATAACTGTGATGGACCCTCCGCCAACAGATACTCCTAGTGCTTACCAAGGGCTCCAAGCACTTCTCCAGACACCAGAGGCCACCAGGTCCAGCAATTGTTTGTTGTGGGTGGGTTACACGACTACCTCGGGCACCGACAGACAGGAGGTCAAGTACCTGGTTAGTCTCCCCTTGGGAGGGAAGATGTGTGATGAAAGCCACTTCGCCACTGGGCTTTGGAGGGGACTACTTGCCAGCCTTTTACCCTGTGACTATGGCCATTTTAATTTATTGTGGTTGAAAGACCCTATTTGTGGCTATTGGGACTTTAAACAATGGTTCTTCGAACTCCCAAACAGTCAAAGTGGCCGCCATTCAACATTCAAACATGTGGTGGTGGCCATCTTGTTTGCATGGACCATAGAGTTCAGGGGGACTTAGCCGCGAATGCCCTGGAACTATTTTCGGCGTGAAAATATCGCGGTTCCCGGTAGGTCCTCCAGCGGCACTTAGCCACCATTCTATGACACTGTTTTGGGCATGAAATCCTGCGTGCGCCTGGGCAAAACTAGGACTTCTATCGAATTTTTTTTTTTATTCTTTATTTGTACCAAGGCAAGACAAGGCATCCAATACACACAAAATATTATACAACAGTAAGCAGTACAGATTATTTTGTAGCTTTAGTGACATTCAGCGTCAATTTCCATCCTCCATTTGTAAGTCTTTGCGTCTTTTAATGAATCTTTTTATTACGTTTTTTTTTTTCTTGCCTGCATCAGACGTCCTGCCCGTCCTGGTGTTTTTTGTTGAATAAAAATATAAACATGATAAACTAAAGTTACAATGCTAACAGATATTGTTTCAACATATTGTTCCTTGGTTGCTCATATGAATATCAAGTCAAATGTTTATATATCCAGCTTGTAAACAGATCCATTTTCTTTTCTCGTAATTTTCATTTTCGTCTGTCTACATGATATAGTAGTGCAATGTATATAGGATTATATAAGAGTAAGAAGAGAATGGATGTGAGAGATTCTCACATAGTAAAGCAAGAGAAGAGAGTGAGGAGAATGTGAGGATAGAGCTAGGAGGGGGCAGAGGAGGGGGTAGAGATCAGAGAATTCTCCAGTTGTCAGAGGTGGGCCTATCCTAGGTCTAGGTCTATTGTGTCCTTCGACGTCTATTGTGCAAGCTTCTCACATAGGGGTACAATTATCTATAAGTCCCTTAAATCTGGCGGATGATATACTATAGGTAGCGACTATGGAGGTGTCAAGCATTCGCTGTGCTAGCTATCCAGGGGCCCCATATTCTTTCAAACTTTTTCGTTGTTCCTCTAACCCTTGCTGTCAATTGATCCATCAGGCAGATATCTTTAATGTTTTGTATCACTGCAGAAAGGCTTGGAGCCTCTCTCTCTCCAGCCAGACTCATGCCAAAGCTCTCCAAGCGGGCCAGATTCACCTTATGTATCAGAGCCTGTTCCGGATTTGTCCAGTTGTCCATAGTTCTAGCCAGTAGGAACATCCACGGGTCTAACTTAACCTCTTTCTCAAATATTTCTCGTAAGAGCTGTGCTATTTGTTGCCAATAAGTTTGTGTTACTGGACATTCCCACCACATATGAATATACGTTCCTTTCATGCCACATCCCCGCCAGCAGAGATGAGTTGAGATTCTATTCATCCGGCATAGTTTTACCGGAGTAGCATACCACCGAAATAGTGTCTTGTATGACTGTTCCTGCAGTGAGTCACACATAGATGTCCGTGCGGCTGCCTCCCACATTTCCTGCCACTCTATGCCCTCCAAGGTCTGCCTCCCATTGATCAATGTATGATATCTCACCCCATTCTGATGTGGTGGTGCTCAGGTGCGTGTACAAATATGAGATTAATCCGCTTGGGAAATTTTCCCTTGGGCACATCCGTTCGAAGATTGTCATCTCCGTCATTGCGGCTTTCTTAACCTGAGGGTCATAGGCATAATCCCTGAGCTGAAGGTATCTAAAAAAATCAAAAGGTCTCAGAGGGGTTTTGGTTTGTAGTTCCTCAAACGTTATGAATGACCCTCCTTCAAACAATTGGTATAGCCTTTGCATTCCCGCGCGTTCTATGCCTCTGAAGTCTCGGGCTGTCATTCCCGGTGTAAATGCTTTGTTCCTCAAGAACGGGATCATTGGGGAAGGGGAGGACGCCAGGCTGTACCTTGTAGCGACTGCATCCCATATCTTCAATGAATTTAGTATTGCTGGGCAACTTATGTTAATATTCAGTATATGTTCCCTAGGAGTCCACATGAGAAACTGAGGCATATCCATCCCCAAGAGGGAGGCTTCTAGGTCAGCCCATCTCCTCACCTCTGGGGGGGAGTGCCAGAGCGCCACTTGGGCTACTAATTGCTGTGGCAAACCTAGCCACGTCTGGACACTTAGGGTGAATATTTCGTTAACTGTTGCTATGCTCATTTTATATGCAGTGTGTAGCATTCGTCTGAATATTATAGCAGTTATGGGTTTTGTTTTTAATGTAAAACTGTATATTTTGCTGTACGGAGAGATAATGTGATTAACAGTACATTCTTGCACAATTATCTCTCCTGTACAGCAAGGCATGCTGGGAAACAGCCGTGCAGGCTAAGTTCCCAACACAGTCCTCTGTAGTAAAACCCCTGCAATGTCATTCAGGAAACCCCTTGCATGGGGACTTGCATAAATACTGTAACCGTGGAATAAAATGACAGTTGAATCCCAGACTATGTGTCGTCTAGTCTTTGGGGAAGAGGGATTATTATTACGCTGCCTGTGTTTTACCTGCTTTATCCTGACTACCAATGGAGATACCGTGGATTATACTGCTACTCCGTTACAATTGTCACATAGTAGCAATACAAGTGTGGGAGGCCCAGACCCCCTCTGTTCCTAGCTCGGTAGAGGATATTGCGAGAGACCCTGTGTTTCTTGTTTTGCCATATAAATTTGCCAATAGTTTGTTGGAGTGGCCCTAAATCAGATTGAGTCAGTTTAATCGGGAGTGCCTTAAACAAAAATAACCGAGGTAACACGTTCATTTTCACTGAATGAATTCTTCCTATCCATGTAATCACTTTTTCTGTCCATATTTCCATGTCAGTCATCAGTGTTCTGAACAATGGAGCATAGTTTTGTTGATATAGCTGAGATGGGTCTGCAGTTAATTGTATGCCAAGATATTTAATGTTGTCCCTTTCTATGCGTATGTGATGTGTCTTCCCTATATGTTGTATATCTGACTCTGTCATGCCTATGGGGAGCGCGCTGGACTTATTCATATTTACCTTATATCCGGCTAGATCCCCATATGTCTTCAGAGCAGCTGTTAATGCCACCATGGATTCCCTCGGGTCTGTCAGTCAATAAGACATCATCCACGAATCCCGATACCACATATTGTTGACCTCCTACTTCGATTCCTTTAATATCTAGGGCTTTGCGTATCGCCTGCAGGAGTGGTTCTAGAGAAAGAGCGAACAGCAGGGGTGACAAAGGACACCCCTGTCTGGTGCCGTTGCTGAGGCCGAACGGGGTTATCTTCTCTCCCAATATGCAAATCTGTGCCCTAACATTGGCGTACATGGCGTAAATTACGGTAGTGAACTGGGGCGGAATGCCGCAATGTTCTAAAACTGTGAAAAGGTACGGCCACTTGACTCTGTCGAACGCCTTCTCGGCATCCAACGACAGTATCAATGTTGGTATTTTTCTGGTGGCTTGTCTCCAAATGAGATCTACATTGTGTCTTGTATTTTCAAATAGTTGTCTACCCGGCACAAACCCGACCAGGTCTGGGTGGACCAATCGAGCCAGTACTGGGTTTAGGCAATTTTCGCTAATATTTTTGAATCATGGTTGATCAGAGATATAGGGCAGTAGTTTTCTGGTACTGTTACATCTCGGTCAGGTTTCAGTAATCAAACAATGTCAGCTAATGACATGTCTATCGGGTGGGCCACCGTCCATAAAGTCGTTGAACCACGATTCTAGGTGTGGGATCAGTTCTTCTCGAAAGATTTTATAGTAACTTCCGTTCTGGTGCTTTGTTGCTCTTCAATGTGGATATTGCTATATCTATTTCTTCTGCTGAGATCTGTTTCGTTAAGGCATCAGATTCTGCCCTGCTCTAGGTAAATCCAGCTCGGCAAAGAAAGCACAGACCTTGTCATTTTCGTCCTGTGGATGAGACAGTACTGCGGTAGAGTGATTGTATAGTTTAGCGAAGTATTCCGTGAATACTGCAGCTATGTTTGAAGGGTTCGTTTGATATTGACCAGAGGCATCTTTACTTTTAGTAATGTGGGCCCCCCGCTGTCTCGGTCGAAGTGATCTCGCCAGTAGGGTGTCCATTTTGTTGGCTTTTTCGTAATAGGTCCGTTTAGACCTTACGATAGCTCTAGCCGTATCATCTATCAGCATCCTCAAATTCTAAACCGCTATCAGATTTACGGGCGAGGGATCAGACTTATGTTGCTGTTCTGCTTTCCGTAAAGATTCTAATAGGGATTGTGAAGAAAATAGACTGAGTTCGGTATTTTCTTCTGTGTTCGGGCTTTTCTGCAGTATTTTGTTCATTTTGGATTTATTAGTTCGGTAGTTTAAAACTACCGAACACCGACCACCCTCCTGACTCATTAACTTCAAAAGAACCGTCTATTAAGTGCTCTCTGGGCGGCTGCTGTTTGTATAGCCAAATGCCATGTGGAACAGAAAACGGCGGCCATCTTGTTTGCACGAAAGGAGGCAGCGAAACTTGTTCGAGTGTCTGGAACTAAAATCGGACACTCGACCTCCCGAACCACCGCTGAAACTACAGAACGCCTGCTTCCTTTAGTTGCCAAACAGCCAGGAGAGCGCCATTCGGTAGTTTGGGCTCATCTGAACAAGGGGAGCAATCGCTCCTATGAGCCAGGAGGATCCATTCGGGACTTTTATTCGTTTTATGCCATTTACTGAATTGACCGACCGCACATGCTGAAATCTGTTTTGGGCAGGAGCCTCGTGTGTGGTCGGTAACTTATGACTTCCATACTTTTTGAGAACCCCTGAACCGATCTGGGTGAAATTTGGATATGTTGGTCCCCCAGATCGGGGCTATCACGGGATATGTAATTTGTGGGGATACCTTGTGTGGAAAGGGGTGTTCTCAGTTTTGGGAAAATTGTGTGCCCTCTGCCTGGAGATAACTGAGTTATTCCTTAACTTATCTCAATATCTCCCAGGCAGAGAGAGGGCGGGGGTTACTGTATGTTGATTGGTTAATGTCTTTGTTTACTGTGGGAGGTCCTCTTGCAGGAGGATTCTCATAAAAGCCAGTGTGGCCTCAATAAAAATCATTCCTGTTACACCCTTCATGAAGTCTAGGCTCATGCTTGGGGAATATTCTACTTGTTGGGGAGAATTGTCTTGGAAGCTGCATTCATCTACACTATTACTCTATCTCCTAACTGCAGTTATAATCACTTATGCTCAGCTATTGGGAAAGGATGGAAGACCACAGTACCATAACCACTGCAAGTCTTAACAGGGAGGATAGTAAAAGAGATTTACGTTTTTTTTTTTAATGTTGCTTCGCGAATTAATATGCCCCTGATCACAGCCTTGTGAGCCATCTATACCATGGAGTTTGACACGCCAGACTCTGCCTCCCTAGCGAAAAAGTCGGTCAGTTCCTTCTGTACCGTGTCTGCTATTGCCATATCCTAAAGTAAGGACATATTTAGTTTCCAGGACCAGGGGGATGCCACACACAGCTTATGTAAAGCTATTAAGACGTCTGCGTGATCTGACCATGTGATGGATCCCACAGTTGATTCCGAAACTCTAGACACCAAAGATGGACTAATTAGAAACAAATCTATTTTCGAGTAGGTATCATGGGGAGCCGAATAGAACGTATAATCGCAGTCGTCTGGGTGGTGTGCTCTCCATATATCTATGAGGACTGTGTTTTGTATGAAGGTGTGTAGCAATTTATCCTGCCTGCCTCTTCTATGGGATCTGGGGAGATCTCTGCTAGAGCCTCTATCTCTCGCTGGGCAAGGAGCTGCATTAAAGTCGCCTCCCGCTATCACCATTCCATGCGGTAACGCATTAACTATCTGGGTCAACCCTGACCAAAAATCCTTTGACGGGTCATTTGGGCCGTATATGTTAAGGATGTGTATGCTATGGGAGTATAACGTCAAAGATAAAAGTATAAAGCGGCCTCCTGGGTCCACATGAAACTTTTTTTTAACACTGAGTGGGCACCTCCGATGAATCAGGATAGCTACCCCACTCCTCTTATTTAGGGCTCTAGATTCATATGTGGTGTGAAAGGTATGGTCTCTGAGCGTGAACTTCGCTGATGCCGGTATATGTGTCTCCTGCAGAAAAGCTAAATCGGGGTTCAGTCTCTTAAGTTCCCTAAACAGTAGTCGTTTCTTTTTAGGGGCATTAAGGCCTTTAACGTTTAGTGATATTAGTTTTACAGGCATGGACCTGTCTTCGGGGGGTAGCTTTATTCAAGTGTGTTATTGCTGCGGTGCTTAAGGCCATCGCTGTTTCCTTGTCGCGTGGTAGAAGGGTGTATTGTTGGCAGGCACCCTTTAGTGTACTCAATAAGTGTGTCGTCCGGTTGCTTGCTCTTACCATTAAGTGTGTCGTCCGGTTGCTTGCGCTTACCTTTTGTCTTATTTTTGTCCATGCAGCCACCAAGTGACCGCACGACCTCCTCCAGCCATCACTCCGTGGCACTGCTCTTTTGTTGCCCTCCGCTCTTTTCCCCCCGGGAGAAGATAAGGAGAGGTAGGGAAGGGGTAGAAGTAGAGGAGAAAGAGAAAAATGAGAAAACATATTATTATATACATCCTGTGCCTGGTCTTACCTATAGCCAGGCTTGTTTGGGGTTTGTGCCCCTGTCCTTCCAGAACTCCGAAGAGGTTCCACAGGATCAGGGACCTAGACTAACCTAAGCATGACCGCAATGGCCTTCGATCGTATGATATGTAAATCTCTTCTGTCTTTGACACCCATCAAGCGGGGACTTCCCGATACGTTGAACTTTGGGGCTTTTGTTGTTCCGCTCCCCTCTATCCCCTAGTATCCCTTAGCGCTCCGGGATCCCTCCCACCTTCCCAACGCCCCCCCCCACCGAGGGCCCGAATCCTGATATCGTCCCCGAGTGAGTTGCACTGTGAGGCTGCCGCTCGAGTGTCGTGCCTGTGTTAGGCCTACCCCAGTGGGCAACCTCGCGCTTGGTATGCATTTATTCATTTCGAGCCCTGCGGTATCGGGGTCGGCCCTCTGACCTGTATCGCTAACGTCCCCAAAGTGGGGCACTAATGACAGCAGATCAGGGACAGCAGGGTCGAGGGCAATTAAAGGGACAAACTATACAACGTGGAAGGGGAGCAGTAAACTGCAGATCTCCGGAGCGGTATGGGTGTCTTTAGTAGTACACTGGTAAACTATAACTATTAAAAGACAGGGTTGCTATCTGCAGCTGATGCAGGTTTTTCTCAATTCAAACACTTTAATCACATGAAAGAGCATTCAAACAGAACCCACCGCCTCCCCTCGGAGTCATCTCCGACCGTCCACCGCCCCCGACAGCAGCCTGAGTACCGTACGTTGGTCCCTAATGGAACCCAGAGACCCACGTAGCGGGTCAGCATAGCTGCTACATATCGATTGACAACGTGATATAAAAAGTCAGCAATGTCCTGCAACCTCCGTAAACGCCAAAGGGTGGCAACAACACCGACCCTTCATACAAACGTAAGCCCTCCCAATGGAAAAAGACCCCCATGAAAAAGGCCTCTCAGGCCGCCCCAAGAACCCCTTAGCGGAATAATATTGCGGAATAATATTGTTGTATTCCCCACCCAATTTCAAGAAGGGAGCCCTCCCGTCAAGCTATTCGCCTGAGATTATCTGGCCCATCGCGCCGGCCGCCCATTAAAGTAGTTACCTCTTCCGAGCTCACTCGCCCGCCGTATACAAGTCATGGGGGGAGGGGAGTCCCCATCACTGCTGCAGTACTCGGAACCGTTAGATCTCCTGTGGCCTGTATCCCCAGCTTGTGCAGGAACACCATTGGGTCGCCATCCGGATACAGGATTTTAGAATGCCCCTCCTTAAAGGCCATTAGCCGAAACGGATGGCCCCACGCATATTTGACGGAGTGTTGCTGGAGTAATTCTGTAATCAGCCGCCATTCCCTTCTATTCCTCAAGGTTTCAGGTGTCAGATCTTGGTATAAAGTCAATTCAGCTCCTCTGTACTTAATCGGGCCTTTTCTGCCACGTCTAATTAAAGCCTCCTTTGTTTGGAAGTATTGAAATTTTACAGTGACATCTCTGGGTCGGTTGTCGTTTGCCCTTCGAGCACGTAATGCCCGGTGTGCTCTCTCTATGTGCCAGTGGCCGTCTGCTATTTCCGGCAGGAGCAGTTAAAATATGGAGGAGACCACTTTGATCAGTGAGCCTTCCCCCTCCTGCTCTGGCAATCCCCACAGCCTAATGTTGTTCCTCCTCGAGCGATTGCCCAGATCATCCAATGCAGATTCTGCCGCTGCCAACCGGGTTGTAGGATGGTTGATCTGTGCAGCAGCTTCGTTATGAGCCTCGACTGTAGACTCCACTCTCTGCTCCAGGACAGCTGTCCTCACTCCCAGCGCTTGTATTTCAGCTTTGACTTCAGCGGTATTCCTGGCTATCTCTGTTGCCAGGTAAGTTCGAACTTCAGCCAACGTAGCCAAGACCTGCTTAGCTTCTGTCCCCTGGGCTTGAGGCATGGCTCCAGACCCCGGGCTATGGGGAGATCGAGGTGCTCCTGGGCTATCCCGTCCACCATCTTGGTAAGTCTCATGGCGCGGGAGACTGCAAACAAGTCCGACACTGTTGCGCTCTGCTCCGGTTGCTTTTTAGTCTGGTTTCTCGGGGCCCTCTTATCCATCTCGTGTTCCCCCGTAGGTATTTTGTATTTTGCCCATGTTATGCCGCTTTTATTTGCTGTTAGTCACTCGGATGCGTCCTGCTCGCTCCGACCTCAGACCACGCCCCCCTTCTATAGAATTTCTGAACCCCTGATCTGGGTGATTTTTTGATATGTTGGTCACCCAGATCAGGGCTATCAAGGGATGTAAGATGTATGGGGATATGTTGTGTCTTGGGGTACTTTGTAAAAATGTGTTTTTTTTCTGCCTGTTGATAATTAAGTTAATGCATTATCTGAAACAAGCAGAGGGGAGGGATTGTGTACTATATGTGGGAGTGGCATTCATTGTCACATTGTCTTTATTGGCTTGTACACTTTGTGTCCCTGTGACCAACAAGGTCCCCCTGGGCATCACCCTTGTTGGGAAACTTGCATAGAAGGCCAGTGTGCCTCCATTAAAATAAAGTTCCTGTTTATCCCTCAACACGTAGCCTTGTCTCGTGATTGGAGGGGAACTTCTATATTCACACTGGGGATTGCTATATTCTTTATACTCCCCTGGGTTCTAATCACTAGCTCTTTTAAGAGCTGTTCTTGCTACGCACTCTGGAGTAGGAGAGGTCTTTCCCACATGGTCCTGGATGTCAGAGGTTGGTCCAGGGTGGAAGGAAGACTAGAAGATTCCAGTTAAACTACGGTGGTTGTGGAGTCTACGGTGCTTGTGGTGTCCGTGGCGGTGCTTATGGTCCTCAGCGTCGGCTTGGAAGCATCTGTTGGTGGAGGTGCCCAGTCGGGTGCCAGGTGATCTGTTACAATAACATATCCCAACCAATAATTGATTTACCTTTGTTTGCCCCAAGCAGATATCTAACCATAAAGCTTTCCCATTTTCCTCGTCACACTCCACATGCCTAAGATTTGACTTTAACTCATGGTTGACATACAAACATACCCCACCACCCTTCTTGTTTTTCCTATCCCTCCTAACTAACCTGTACCTATTTAAATTAACTGCCCAGTCATTTGTCTCATTCTACCATGTTTCGGTTATGCCTATTATGTCATATTGTTTAGTGTATGCTATTGTCTCTAGTTTCCCCATTTTGTTATATAGGCTCCTTGCATTAGTAAGCATACATTTCTGAGCTTTCCCCTCCCCCCATCTCCACCCCCTTTGTTCTGAGCTATCTCTTTCCACCCTATCTCCATTTTCTAGGTTGCTTTGACCCTCCCCCCCCTACCACTAGTTTAAAATCTCCTCCAACCTTCTAGCCATCCTATCCCCCAGCACAGCAGACCCTCTTCCGTTTAGGTGCAATCCATCATGACTATACAGGTTGTACCCATGTGCAAAATCGGCCCAGTGCTCTAAAAACCCTCCTTCCTGCACCAAGACTTCAGCCACACATTGACCTCTGTAATCTCACGCTGCCTTTCTGCTGTCGCATGCGGCACAGGTAATATTTCTGAAAAAATTACCTTGGAGGTCCTTTTCTTTAGCTTACTTCCTAGTTCCCTGAACTCATTCTTTAGGACCTTCCATTTTCCTCTGACTTTGTCATTGGTACCAATATGGACCATGACAGCTGGGTTATCTCCAGCCCCAACCAATAATCCCTCCACTCATTCGGCAACACGCCGGACCCAACCACCCGGGAGACAGCAAACTGTCCGGTTAAGACGATCAGAGTGGCAGATTACCTCATCTACTCTCAATAATAGTCACCTACCACCACAACCTGTCTAGCCATCCTTACACTCTCAACCCCACCCGTGCTAGAGGGACTGTTCCCACGGCTGTTAGAAGGAACAGCTTCCTGCAGTACAGTTACTCCTGAACTGATGCTCCCAACATCTTCATTCATACGGGCAAATCTGTTAGGCTGCACAAGATCAGGACTAGCCAAACATTTCCTTTTCCCTCCCTCCCTGCTTCCTCGCCCCACTGTTACCTAGCTATGTGCCTGTTCACCAACTGTCTTATCTCCTCCCTTTCCACTACCTGCACCCACTAAACTCTGCTCAGTGAGCAGCAGACTCCTCTCAAGATTGTCAATCTTCCTCAGTGTTGCAATTTGCCTCTCCAGATCTCCAATCTGAGCTTCCAGAAAAGCTGAGCTTCCACCACAGAGGTATGGACCCTGGACAGATTCATCCAGGCATGCATACATGCAGCAGGATGTACACTGAGTAAAACTTGCAATCTTGCTCATCCCCAATTATCAAAAACACAAGTGAACAAAACAATTTTTACCCTCTTGGTTTAAACTCCCTTGTAGTTTAAACTCCTGTTGTAATGGCCACCCCGAGAGGGGTTCCCGCTGCCAGAGATGTCCTTTCCCCCTAGTAAGAAGAGTGCTGAAGCATTCCCAGGTATAAATCCAAATGGTACAAAAGCAGTTATAGCTTGTATAACTGGTCCCTACGAACACGAGACGAGGCTCGATGTTGAGGGTAAAACTGGAACTGATTTTAATGGAGCCACAGCTGGCTTTTTATGCAAGTTCCCATGCAAGGGGTTTCTAGTGACACATTCCAGGGGCATTCCCCACTGGACCTGAGAGGGGACAGCAACATAAGCACACACATAATTATATTATCTCTCTGGTCCAGGACATGCATAACAACAATTACCCCAAAATATAGCTTTAACAATGAGGTACCCCTTCAAGTCCTATATCCCCGGATAGTAAGAACAAGAGTCAGCGCTAAATAACAGAGATATGAGCAGCAACCCAAAAAAAGGGAATCCCTCAAGACCCTTTGTAAAATAGACTAGAGGAGGTCAAAGGCGTAAGGGCTGCGCTAAAAGTTAAAACCAGTAGTCTGTGACCGTAGAAACCAGACCAAATGGTCTAAATGGGTAGACAACAACAAGTAGGCCTTGTGATAAGGTGAATGGGGTGGTCTGTGAGGGAGTTTATATTTCATCTACATTGTTCAGAGAGGCATATGATCTTTAACCCCAGGGGGAATGTATGTATGTATGTATATGACTTGAATGCATATTTAGTTATGGGCCCCTGGGGTGGAGCATTTGGAGAGAAGGGTGGGCCAGTGCTCCACTCCACTATTTACTGTTTTCTCTTGGGAGACTAGGTCCAGACCAGGCTTTGGACTGTCTCCAACCCACTGCTCAGCTGCAGGTAATCAGCTGCAGCAGTGGGAATAAACCCCTCCCTGCCAGGCAGGTAGAGGAGAATGTTTATTTCTCTCTGGAAGGGCTGGAAGCAGCAGGCTGTCAAAAACGCTGGAAATCTGAGAGCTGAAAAAGATGCTAGATTGGTGAAACCACTTCTTGTTTTTGTTATAGATTAAACCCTTGAGAGAGAGGGAACTTGATGTCAGTTAGTGCTCAGACCGAGCTAGGTTTTTGTTTATAGGATTTTTGTTACATTTTGTTTTCATTTGCTGCTGTAGCTGTGGTGGAGTTTGACAATAAAACTGCCTGAATTATATGCAAACCAAAGGACTGTGCCTGTAGTTTACCCTAGAGGAGCGTGCTACCTGCAGACAAGGATCACAGCCTATATAAATGATAAAAAGTCTCACTTAAAACAACAGAAACAAGATAAAAGAAAATCTGTCCAGGTGATAAAATATGATTTAAAAAATGGTATAAAAAGTCTCCATGGATAGAGTATAGGTACAGTCCTCAGGAGTTGATCCGTCCAGGTTGTAAGTATCCGTATATGTGAAGACAAAAATAAAAACACAACAAACTGCCGATAGCGAAGTATTCTAAGATCCAAAGGTAAAATAAAATGGAGGTAATACACTCCCATTTGGGGGAGCTTTAGCCAGCTCTAGGATGAAGGGCGTTTAGCGGTATAATCCCCGCTAAAGGATATACTGTAGGGAGATGTCCGTCAATCTGGCCTGGTAATGCAGTACTCCACGATATATAAAAAACATCAAAAGTGCTCTCAGTGTATAAGAGATGGTTAAAATAAATTTAAATAAAATATACTCACAACTGTAGAGCAGAGGATACTGCTCTATTAATACAGCGCTGGTGGAATGATCCCCACCTGGGATTTCTTGAGTCAGGATACAGTAAAAAATGACAGGAAAAGTAAAAATAAAAAGTGCATATAAAACACAATAAAATGAAGATTGGTCCTGTGGAAAAGGTAACCAAAAAACTTTTATTGCTTAAAATACACAAGATACTATTTAACCCCTTCCCGACCGCAGACGGAAATTTTCCGTCAACCTTGTCCTTCAGGTAAAAAGTTAAAAGAAAAAGTTAACCCCAGATAGCCGCGATTGCGGGGTTAACGGTGCTCTGGTCTGCCTCTGTATTATAGGCAGACCGGGAGCACCTGATCGGGCTGCCCCAGCACCAATGCTTGCTCTGAAAGGGCTGTCAGAGCGAGCACATGTGCTCAGTGTACATACCATCCGCCTCCCTGCACTTCCGGGTTCTGTGTGAAGTGCAGGGAGACGGATCAGAGCTGATCCTCTTTTCCCTGTGTAAAAAAAAATAAATAAATAAAGTTAAATCCCACCCCCCCTTTCCCCTGCTTTAATAAAATTAACCACTTCCCTGCCAATTGATCACTGACTACAGTGATCAATTGGCAGGGTATACATTTTAATGTCATCTGATTTTTATTTTTTTTAACCCCTGAGGTTAAATTATTATTTTTTTAACCCTCCTGGGTTACATTTATTTTATTAATTAATTTAAATATTTAAAAATTATATATTTAGCTAGCTGGGATGGGGCGACGTTAGTGGGGAATTGGGGAATTTGGTGTTAGGCTAACTAGGGGTTAACGTTAAAAGTTTTAAAATAAGATTTAAAAAGGTTAAAAAAAACTTTAAAAAAAAATGTTTTAGTAACGTTTAAGTAAAAAAAAAAAATACCACCCCCCTTTACCCAGTCTAAATAAAAATTAACCCCTTCCCTGCCAGCTGATCACTGCCTACAGTGATCAAAATACAGATCACAGTATTATACTGTAATCTAATTTCTTTTAACCCCTGAGGATTAACTTTTATTTATTTTTTAACCCTCAGGGGTTCAATTTATATAATTAATTAATTTAAATATTTTATAATTATATATATTTTGCTAGCTGGGGTGGGTGGAAGTTATGGGAAAGGGGGAATTTACTGTTAGTGCTGCTTACTGCTAGTTAGGGGTTAACGGTAAAAGAAAAGTTTAGAAAAAAAATTGAAACTGTAAAAAAAGTTAAGAAAGTGTAAAACATTTAATAAGTAAAAATAAAAGTTTAAAAACGGGTTTTACAAAGTAAAAAAAGTTTAACAAAGTGAAAAAAATAAATTAAAAAATGCTCATTACCACTAAGCTTGGTACAAGCTAGCGGAAAAATGATCCCACGCTAAGGTTCAAAATATGCCTTTTGAATTACCCTATGATGTCTTCTTTAAGAAATGGTATGGCTTTATGGGGTATTTGGATTATATAGCCTTGTAAAATACTCTATAATGCAACATGGGCACAGTGTAAAAAGTTAAAGTTTGAAAAGAACTGGAATGGCTGTGTCCCAAATGCGCCCCTTCAACATCCACATATACCTGGCAAAGGTACATACTGGGGTATTGCTGTACTCAGCCAACATAGCTGAGCAACATATGAAGTATTATACAGTCGTAGCACACATAAGGTTTGCAAAATATACTGTGCAAACTCACTTTGTGTGTTAAAAAGGCAGAAAAAACACTTATTACCACTACACTTGGTACAAGCTAGCGGAAAAATGATCCCATGCTAAGTTTCAAAATATGCCTTTTGAAATACCCTGGGATGTGTTCTTTAAGAAATGGTATGGCTTTATGGTGTAGTTGTAATATGTAGCCTGCTCAAGTGGTCCAAAGTGGGACACGGACGCATCAAAACCCTCCATGAAAATTCACACTTCAAAACCTTAAAGGACCACTCTAGGCACCCAGACCACTTCAGCTTAATGAAGTGGTCTGGGTGCCAGGTCCTTCTAGGGTTAACCCATTTTTTTTATAAACATAGCAGTTTCAGAGAAACTGCTATGTTTATGAATGGGTTAAGCCTTCAAATCCTCTAGTGGCTGTCTCATTGACAGCCACTAGAGGCGCTTGCGTGCTTCTCACTGTGATTTTCACAGTGAGAGCACGCAAGCGTCCATAGGAAAGCATTGTAAATGCTTTCCTATGCGACCGGCTGAATGCGCGCGCAGCTCTTGCCGCTCGTGCGCATTCAGCCGACGGGACGGAACGGAGGAGGAGAGAAGGAAGAGAGCTCCCCGCCCAGCGCTGGAAAAAGGTAAGTTTTTACCCCTTTCCCCCTTCCAGAGCCGGGCGGGAGGGGGTCCCTGAGGGTGGGGGCACCCTGAGGGCACTATAGTGCCAGGAAAACGAGTATGTTTTCCTGGCACTATAGTGGTCCTTTAACTTGTCACATCTCTTTTACAGCACTGTAACTTCACAAAATAGTGTCTAGGTCATACATTGGGCTTATTGTTTTACTCAGAAGACTTAGCTGAGCATAATTTGGGGGGTTTGAACTTAGTGGCACATATGAAATGTACAAAATGCCCAGCAAAAATGCAATCCGTTTGTAAAAAAATGCCCAAAATTATTTTTTACCGCATACTTTGGCATATATTGGTGAAAAAATGGGGGAATGTTAAGGCTCAAAATTCTACTGTAAATGTTGAAACGGACAGGTCTCCTATATGGCACTGTAGCTTCACGAAATAGTGCCAAAGACATACAATGGGGGTGTCGCTGTACTCAGCAGATGTAACTGAACACAAAATAAAACTTTGTACAGGAATAGCACACACCAACTTTACAAAATATACATGAGAAGTTTGTATGCCAAAAACTCAAAAAAAACTAAATTTTACTCCAATATTTAGCAGAGATTGGCGGTGAAATGGCTACGTAGAAAGTGTCAGGACAATAGCCTGTGATGCCTACTTTATATAAATAAATACTTTTGTGCGGCAATTTTGTTTTCTTATATGGCTATTAAGCTTACAAGACAAGCATACCAAATTCTAAAATCGCTCCACATTTAAAGTTTATTTTACTCCTTGTGCTTTGTGACCTGTAACTACCAAAAAAAACTTAAAATCCCAGCCACATTATATATTCTGTAAATCAGAACAACCAAATGAATTTATTTTTAATTACTTTTCTTAACCTGCACTTATTATGCACACATTATTATTGCAAAAACTGTACAAAAAAAAATTTTTGGGGGCCTTTTTCTGTATTTTTTTTAATAATAAATAAGCATATATATATATATATGTGTTACATCAAATTAAAGCCCTTTCTGTCCTTTAAAAAAACGATATATAATATGTGTCGGTGCAATAAACGAGAGAGATGCAAATTGCAGTTGAACGCAAACAGCAAGAAAATGCAAAAATTGCTTGTGTCGTTAAGCGTAAGACAAGCTTCTGAAGCTGTGTCCTTAAGGGGTTAAACAGGAGAAAAGATAATATAAATAATATAAATACATACGAAGAATACATACTGTGCTTACTTATATAAATATTAAATACATAAAACGGATACATAAATACAGCAGCTTTCTTATATGAATAGTAGAAAAGCATATCCTTTAAACACAATTATATAAATGTGAGGCATTAAGTGATGTTAATAATAAATTCACATAAAATTCACATATAAAAATTATTCACATATTGTGATGTCGCGAACGGTTCGCCGCGAACATAAACATAAACTTTGACCCTGTAGCTCACAGTCAGCAGACACATTCCAGCCAATCAGCAGCAGTCACTCCCTCCCAGACCCTCCCACCTCCTGGACAGCATCCATTGTGAAGCTGCATTCTTAGTGAGCTGTCCAGGAGGTGGGAGGGTCTGGGAGGGAGCGTCTGCTGCTGATTGGCTGGAATGTGTCTGCTGACTGTGAGGTACAGGGTCAAAGTTTACTCAATGATGAGTCCGCGGCGAACCGTTCAGGACATCACTAGTCACATATTAAAATTATGAATTAAAAAAAGTTCCATAATAAAAGTGACAATTAATATGCATAATTATAAAAAGTTGTACAAATCGAAGTCTGCATTTAAACATTGGGGTGTAAGGGTCTGTAGCTTGTTGATGCATTCCATTTCTGTTTTACCTAGGATGTTTTTTATATCACCTCCAGGGTAAGGTGCATTTTTTTATCCCCATACATTTTAACATTTTAGGGTCTTTATAGTGAGCAATAAAATTTTGGATACGGAATGGTTTAAATATCCATTTTTGATGTTTCTGCAATGTTCACTTAGTCTAATTTTTAGGCACCTTGTGGTCATTCCAACATACTGGAAACCACATGGGCATTCGAGCAGATAAATAAAAATTTTCGTATTGCAGCTTATAAATGCCTTAATGTTGTAAGTTATTTTGATCCAATTTGAGATAAATTGCGTCAGTGGTCTTACATACAATACACATTTTGCATTTATGGAACCCTTTGACTTGGGGGAAGAAGGATACTGGGTTTTTGTGTGGGATTGTTTTAGTAAAATTCGTTGGTTAAAATAGATTTAAAATTGGGAGTTCCTCTAAAAACTATATTTGGCTTTTTGGGAATAATTTTGCTAAGTTTGTCGTCATGTTTTAAAATGTGCCAATGTTTTTTAATAATCTTTTTGATTTCGCCGCTTTTATTATTATAATTGAAAGCAATAGGGAGAGATATAGGTACGTTATTTGTTTTTGTTTTATACTTTAAAAGTTCGTCCCTATTTAAGTGTTCTTGCAAGACCACTTATTGTTATCTCACATATATATTATTCTTATTATAGCCAAATTTGCCACCCTAACTCCTCCCACAGTTTTTACACTACATAGACCAAAATTTACCAAAACGTGCAGATTGTTCCCGATCGGATTGCTATTACTTTGTGGAACGTTTCGCCGAATGGTTCACGGAATATCGTCGTTCTTGTGGCGAAATTTGTCCCATAGGAATGAATGGCAAAGCTAGAGTGGGAGCTGGCAAAAGCTGAAAAATCAGGACATGATTTCTAAACTGCCACCACTCCCTTATTTTCAGGCCCACCTACACAAATCTTATATCAAAACGTTCAGCTATCCCTGCTGCCACTAAACATGTCAACGGCTAAGCCATAGTCCTGATAGTTTTCACAATCTAATAATTTGTTTGCAACTAACGCCGTCCATTGACATTCATTGAAACTTCACTCTGCAAAGCTCAAATTTGAAGTGCAATTTCTAAACTGCGACTGTGCCTTCAATTTTAATACTTCAGAGACATACTATGCATCAAAATGTAGGTCTGGGTCTTGTGATTCTCACAATATAAAGCTCTTCACTGTAGGAGTTATAGTTTTTAAGATACGACCGTTTGAAGATGGCAACCGCCAAAATACTCTGACCTGTGTCAGGCTGCAGCAGCAAGTGATGTCATAGACAGGGCCTTTTGAACACCTGCTAATGTTTTTATAAATGTATGGTTTAATGTAACTGTGCAACAACGTTGCAATTAAATGTGCTGTATAAATGATAACAGTTACTCCGCCCACTCCAGTTGTAGACTACAGGTGGAGGCAAGAACACTTCACACAATTTCCCCTGAAATTGTAACTTTTCTAGTTTTGTACTTGATCTCGTTAATACTTTCTAATAGATCTGTCTCTGAATAAATCTTTTCGATTAATTTGTTTTTAAAAACATCTGCTTGTTCATTGAAGTTTTCTAGTTCAGTACAATTCCTGCGTAGACGTAGGAACTGGCTTTTTGGGGCACTATCAAGCCAGTGTGTATAATGACAGCTTGTTCTGTCAATAGCTGTATTAACACAGACCTTTTTAAAATAAGTTTTTGTGTGTATTTGCCCGTTTTTTACAAATATATTTAGATCTAAAAAGATAATTTGTTCCCTACTGAATTCATGGGTTAAAATTATACCTCTATCATTGGTGTTAAAAACATTGATAAAAGAAATAAGACTGTCTTCAGGCCCATCCCAAATAAAAAAAAGAGGTCATCAATATGTCTAAAATATGAGACCAGGTATGCCCTCAGATTGTGTCCGTCATAGATAGCTGTAGATTCCCAATCTGCCATGAACAAATTGACATAGCTAGGGGCAAACCTGGTACCCATAGCATTCCCTCTTTTTTGAAGGTAAATTGAATCAAGGAACCACAAGTAATTATTTTTTTAAATGATGTTTATGCCCTCTAGTATAAAATCTAACTGTATTTCAGTGATCCTATTTTCTTTGGTTAAAATATTTTTAATAGCTTTACATCCGATATTATGAGTTATAATTTTGTAGAGGGACTGGACGTCGCAGGTGACTAAGATAAAATTAGGGTTCCAGTTAAAATGATTTAAAACGTTTAAAAGAGACATTGAATCTTGCAAATACGACTTCATTTGTTTGACAGAAGGTTGGAGGAGAGTGTCTATATATTGCGAAAGATTACAGAGGAGGGAACCTATACCTGACTCTATTGGTCTGCCTGGGGGAGTTTGATCATTTTTGTGTATTTTAGGAAGAAAGTAAATGACAGGGATAATTGGAATTTTTTGTTCAGAAAGTTAAACTTATGTTTGTTTAAAATACCTAAATCCAGACCCTTGTTTAAAAAACCAGGTAATTTTTTTTGTAGGACCAATCTTCATTTTATTGTGTTTTATATGCACTTTTTATTTTTACTTTTCCTGTCATTTTTTACTGTATCCTGACTCAAGAAATCCCAGGTGGGGATCATTCCACCAGCGCTGTATTAATAGAGCAGTATCCTCTGCTCTACAGTTGTGAGTATATTTTATTTAAATTTATTTTACCCATCTCTTATACACTGAGAGCACAGATTGACGGACATCTCCCTACAGTATATCCTTTAGCGGGGATTATACAGCTAAACGCCCTTCATCCTAGAGCTGGCTAAAGCTCCCCCAAATGGGAGTGTATTACCTCCATTTTATTTTACCTTTGGATCTTAGAATACTTCACTATCGGCAGTTTGTTGTGTTTTTATTTTTGTCTTCACATATACGGATACTTACAACCCGGATGGATCAACTCCTGAGGACTGTACCTATACTCTATCCATGGAGACTTTTTATACAACTTTTTTATCATATTTTATCACCTGGACGGACTTTCTTTTATCTTGTTTCTGTTGTTTTAAGTGAGACTTTTTATCATTTATATAGGCCTACTTGTTGTTGTCTACCCATCTAGTCCATTTGGTCTGGTTTCTATTGTCATAGACTACTGGTTTTAACTTTTAGCGCAACCCTTACCCCTTTCACTTCCTCTATATCCCTGCATAACCTGGGTCTGAGCGCCCAACATATGTCAAAATCACTCAGATCCCACAAATGTAGCCGAAACACCACCGGGGTATAGTTTAGACCGACAGCACATGAGGAGCCTGCCCAAAAGAGTTCCATGAAATTAGGATGTGTGGTTGGCCTCTCTTGGGAGTGCCAAAATCGAATAAAATAGATGAATAAACTGTTCGTGTGTAGGCTCACCCAGTGTCTTTTGTTCAGGAGCTTGTTTTCACCGAATGCCGCTTTACTCAGATGAATAGAGGCGAACGTAGGGGTGAGTAGAAGTCTGAGCGGTGTTTGGGCTATCGGGTTTCCCATTATAGTTCCATTCACTCGACGACCAAACCCCGCTGGATGCGTTTGACAAAACAAGATTGCCGCCGCCTCGTGTTCGGCCATACGAAAAGCGGCCACCCAGCCAACCACTTAGAAAGTTCAAGTGTTTGGGGTTTAGGAAGGTGTTATAGAGGTCAAGTGGGTCAACAAGCAGCACACAACAGTTCTGGAGGGTCTAGGTGATCGGTACCTAGTTCATATTATACGAACTAAATGAGGCAATTTTGTTCGGTTGGGTTAGTATACCGATCAGTCGATGGAAATTCATTATTAATGGGACAGGGTGATCTGTTACACCTGTTGTTTCAGCTCCTACTTAAAAGAGACCACTTTAAATAGCCTACTTTCAAGCAAACTCCAGTGAGCAAGCTCTGTGAGTCAATATTTGGTTTATATTGGCAATTCAAATCCCACACAGGTGAAAATTAAGGGGCATTCCCCCTAATTAGCTCAGCAGCACCCACAAGGAGGGGAATATAAACAGCAAGAGAAAAAAAAGAGGGAAAAAGTTTTAAATAAAAACAGCACGTAGAAAATATAGATTAAAAAAGGGACAAGTTTAACCCCTTAAGGACGGCGGGCGTGGTATACCGTCCTTGGGGACATGGCTCTAAACGTTGGCGAGCAGCGGTAACCACCCTTGAATCATTAGTAGATAAGTCTGAGACGAGTTCCTGATCCGTGACTGTCGAAAGATGTCCAAGAAGGATGTGGTGTGTTTCTGAATTGTACTGCTCCTGTGCCAAGAGCTATGGATCGATCCGATCGCAGAGATGGGACCATCCTCTGGCATCCTGATTCAAGAGACACCAGGGTTCATCTTGACAGAGAAGAGGATCCTGACCAGACGTGCATTCGTCAGCTTGGACCCCAAGATTTCCATTGAGAAGTACAACATTTTGTCGATGCAGTTTCCTGAGTTACAAACCTGGTACTAGATGCACCTCCAAAGAGCACAGGACTATGTGCGAACCGTCTTGGAGCAAGCCCGGAAACCTTTTGTATCCAGTACTATTCCGATGAGCAACAAACCCAAAAGGTTCCTCACCGTTATAATTGTTGCAGTTGTCGCAACTGGAATGTCTGCAGCCAACTCTATTACTGTCCAAAAACTGGATATGGAAATCTTTGCGCTAAAGCAGTACATTAACGATATTCATCAGGTGACAGCAAAGAACACTTCTCCACTACGTGTTAATTATTGTGGAAGACACAGTTGTTACAACAAATTTGCATTCAGAGTTAATTGCCAAGTCCAC